TAATAGCCTAATACGATATATTATCCTATAAAAAGCTGCACACAGCCTCCTCTCGTCCTCATACAGGACACAGTTGAGCAACCGGCAGCTGTGTCTCCATCCTCCGGGCCACGCCGGCATCCATGACGCCCCTCCATGCCCGACACGACTGAAAGCATCATCTATGACCTCATGCGAAACTCACCAAAGTTTGCTGATACTGAAGCGTCCGGTTTTCTGTCTTGTCCTTGGCCATTGTCGCAATATCCTCATTAAGACACCCGATCCGAGACACTCTGAGGAGTTGCAAGACCGCCCGCTAATTAATCTGCGGAGGAGGACCCGGCGGCGCGGCTGCGTGCCATCACATGTGCAGCGTGTAACAGGTTTCTTATCATGAGCCCTACCGCATGATGCAAAGCTCCGCCGCTGCCGCTGTGATGTGCGTGTGTGCGTATGTGTGTGTGTGTGAGCCAGATGAGAGCGTAGCCGGCTGTCGCCTCGTAGCAGCGCTGGTGCGGTTTGACTGCAAAACACCGCCTCCCTCCTCCACTCCACTGTGCTACTGTCTCTCCGGAGTTACTGGATTTGATGATGTTTTTGTGCTTTTGTGTGGAGGCGTGTGCAGGTGCAGGTGTAATAAAAGCCTGCTGGGATAAATGACAAATGATGGAGTGTATGGTATGGGGTTTTTTTTATTCCTGCGTGGTATTTCTCAGCTGTCCTTTGCTCCCGATTTGAGTCATCACTGGATTGATCAAGTGTGATGAGTAATTCACAAGGGTGAGGCTCGTGTTGGGCGGATATATGGCTCTGTCAATGTCATAAAGACATCTTTACAACAGCCCTTTAATAGGCTGTCCCTTTAGTAAGTGAATAAGAATGGTGGCTGAGCACCCATTAGTGACTTCATAGCAGCCATGCCCTTTTACCTCATTCCTGTACTTCATTGTCATGTAGCCTCTCAGGATGAGTAGTTTTAAGTGGCTCCAGTGTTTTGCACAATCACTCCCTGCAGTTTGATTTCAGATAATCTGTCTAAATCTCATCCTACTAGCCTATTTTTGGTCTCTTTTCAGTGAGGTGTTCTTAAAGGGGCACTTACTTTCATTAAGATAAGGGTCTCACAAAAGTCAGATTTAATCAAGAATGGTCAAAGTCTATGCAGCTGAAGACAAGATGTTCTGACTTCTAGTTCCCAGTAAGGGTAAATATCCAAAAACTGGATCTAAGCCTGTATTTCCCATGATGCAACTTGATGTATTTAATTACACACCTCCTGCAACTTGAGATATCCCTGCTGACATTCACAGTATATTCCGCATCCAGTTGGGTACCCACAGCAGCGGATGACCCTCAAAAAAAGGTGATTTGGTATTTGAGATTTAAGAGTTTTAACGTTTTAATCCCGTGACTACTGACTTTGTGTGTCGGCCCTGCCTTCGCCATCTGGAATATGAGAGCCGCTTCAATCAGGTGCATCATTAACAGGTACGTTAGACTGCTGTGCAGATGTGCTGCTCCCTGTTATGAGAATACGCAAAAAATATTCCTTTAAATTGTTTTTCCTGAATTACATTTGTTTTATTTGGACAGTGGGTGGTGTAGTGGTTAGCTGTCGCCTCATAGCAAGAGGGTACCTGGTTTGAACCTGGGGTGGGGGAGCCCCTCTGTGTGGAGTTTGCATGTTCTCCCTTTGTCAGCATGGGTTTTCTCTGGGTACTCCAGCTTCCTCCCACAGTCCAAAGACATGCAGTTTAACTGGTGAATCTAAATTGGCTGTAGGTGTGAATGTGAGTGTGAATGGTTGTCTGTCTCTATGTGCCAGCCCTGTGATAGTCTGGTGACCTGTCCAGGGTGTAACCTGCCTCTCGCCCAATGTCAGCTGGGATAGACTCCAGTGTCCCTTCGACCCCCAACAGGATAAGCAGTTATGGAAATGAATGAATTATTTGAAAAGCGCATGGTTTTTATAGGGTTTGCAAGTCATCGTGCCGGTTCATGAGCATATCTTGAAAATCAGACCCCTGCAGGACTCTGCTTCCCATGACGAATGAACTGTGTAACTGTGTATTAATGTGTAAAAATAGGTGGAATTCCCCTTTCAAATCTTAACATTCAAACAATCTGAACTGGAAAGAAGCAGTAACTTGAAGCTGTTTAGTGTTTGTTTGTGTTAGTGTCAGTGGACAATTTAAGTAAGTGGACAACGTGGAGAACAAAACTACCAAAGGGAAGAAATGTAAAGACTTCAGCCAAATCACATTTACTGTCTCACGCACACACGCAGTGTACAGATGGCTGACAAGTTTAAGTGGAAAATCTGAAGTGAGCTTTCCAGCGATTAATGATGAGCAAAAATGAATGAAAATATCTTTTTGAACAACTCTATCGAAAGTCTGAGTGCCCTTTCCCATTTGCACACTTGCTGTTATCATATGGTACTGCTCATGCTGCCTGCTGCAATGAGTGAATAAGAAGTGACTGAATCAGACTCGAGTCCAGACCTCCATCAGCCAAGGACAATGGTGCATTCAGGTGCTTCTCGCATGGTCCTCCTTCTGACTTTGGTGCGTTCATGAGCTTTTAGCTGTAATGTGGCAACAAAATGGATGTGTTGTCTTTTATCGCACAGTCTGATTAAACAACATGTTAATAATGAAGAGCAAAGGAGACAAATTAAGTGAGACATGATTGATGATTTTCTGACAAAGGCAGCACAAGGCTGTGGGGACGTCTGCTACTTGCCCTTCAAAGAATGACGGATCGTTGGTCGGTGACATTTCTGTAACATCAAATTGAGCTGACATAGCCAACCTACACACAAATGGGAGGTTAAATCAATGCATTAAAATGAATATTTTATCTTTATTAATGTAAACTGTGCAGAGTTTGCATGTTCTCTCCGTGTCAGTGTAGGTTTTCTCTGGGTACTCCGGCTTCCTCCCACAGTCCAAAGACATGCAGGTTAATTGGTGACTCTAAATTGGCCATAGGTGTGAATGTGTATATGTTAGTCCTGTGAAAGTCTGGTGATCTGTCCAGGGTGTACCCCGCCTCACGGGCCTCAACACCAAATGAAGGACCACCATGTGGGAGAATGGTGTTCAAAGGCCCATATCAATGCAATGGAGCGTTGAAGCTGTTCTCATCATGGCCCCACACCTTACTGAGACACTTTATGCTGGGATTAATGCATTGCCTCATATTCAAGTGTATTTCACACAAGAGAACCACATGCTTCAACTATTGTCTGCCAAACGACCCCACAAGGAGCATTTCACAGTGAAGTGCTGTGCTCATGGGCACCACAACAGTCACTGTAGAGGCTCATACGCCATAAACTGCCTTGTGTGTTAGTGTGTGTGTGTGTTTGCAGAAGAACTTCTCGGGAGAGATTGCATTCAACACTGAAAGCTCACACATGAAGGATTGTTACGCTCTCAGATCACTTCTGTTCCTCAGATGACACATATATTACAATACTGTGAGCTCATCTCTCTGGGCTTTCACCAAAGGCTTTTCAGAGGTGCTACTCACAGGCAGCAGAATCTATTGCACTGACAGATGTGGAGCCAAGTGAGACTCGCACCTGAAGGATAACCACTGTTTCAAGAGTTCACTGCTACTTCATCAGGAGCCAGACATCCATCATGTTTGCCAGTATGCCCTCAGTTGGATGGATTATTCAGGAAGTTCACATTTTCAGGAAGTTCAGAACTTTCTCAGGCCGAAGCAGATAGACTCGCCTTGTGCACTCTTAGCATAAAATTGTACCACCCAAGCAGCAGGTTACTGATGAATTCAAGCTTTAAATGGATGGCAATACATTAAACAATTTCACTGGTCACAGACCAGCATGCATTTGAATATCAAACTCTCTGATCCCTTACAGGTTAAAAGACTTAATTCCACTGGGAGTCAATGCCTCTGACGGGCTGACAGATAAAACAGTCCTGCACAAGACTGCAGCTGATTGGCTGTTGGCAAGGCAACCAGTTCAAAGCACCAGACCACAGGCACCAGAATGAACCAGAGCCTCTGGGACCACTGAGTATTGGGAGGGATTTCACCCAAACACACACATCATTCACAAATCTCATTATTCATGCACTTCAGGTTTGTACACACCTTGCGCCTACAACTTGTCCTCACATCATCTCCCTCCTTCATAACTGAGGGTAAATAGTGTCTCTGACTTCATTTTATCATGGAGCTGGCAGCCACAGACAGGCAGGGGCATGCTGTGGCCCCGGCAGCGGAGGAACTGGGTGCCCTGCAGCCCCAAGCTCCAGCACACTGACCCACATCCCTCCATCTCTGCAGGATGCTTTAGAAATATAAACCACCCACCTCTGCATGGAGGTTTGGTACCAAAATACGGGAGGAAAAACAATGTGTCTCCTGTCCTGTGTGACAGTGAAGAAAACTCAACACCACATGATGAGAAAGCACAGGAAATGGTTTTAAACAAATGGTGTTGTGATAAGAATTGGGTGAAGGTTTGGTTTAGTTTAATTCTACATTAATTCATCATTGTAAGCAAAGATATTTTAAATTCAAGGAGGTCAGAGGGATAATCTCAGACTATTTCTTACATTATATTATCTTTTTTCGTGTAACGTAAGTCTGAAAGTAACAGTAAAAATAATTTAATCTGACATTATGTGTGCATTTTCTCACACACATTTTACTGCAATACATCTGTATTACAGTACAAAGACCTTGAGTCCTTGGTGCACAACATTATGCCAGTACAACCACCTGTGCCCCTTTTTGTGTTGCATGGCAAGTTTCTCAATTGTCAGTCATTCCTGTTTGTCCTAAAATACTTAAACTGTCTGAAGTAACCACAAAATGACACCACGTCACCAGTAAATACTCCACAAAACAATCAGACCTTCAATTAACATTTGCCCTTGAGCCAGAGATGGACAAAGTTCAGGAGACACTAAAAGATTAAACACTTTGGAGAGACATAAGAGACGGAGATGCATCTTGTCAGGACGCAGCACACTTACGGTTTCCCCTGAGTCTGCTTTCCTCCTCTTTTTTTCTTCTTTCCTCCTCGGGCTACGGATTCAAAACCGTCAGCTGCGTCCCTCCATTGTGCCTAGGCGGAACAATTAATGGAATAAAGGGCACACAGCTACAGGTTGCAGCGCACGCTTAATCAATGATGTGATCGGGCAGCAGATGACTCCCGGAGAAATCACACTTCACTCCGCCGGTAGATCCCAGAAACCGGCCCGCTGCTGATGCGCAATCCAAACAGCACCGCGCCAAAGTTGTCAACGCGGCGCGTAATTACCGGTTTTGCGCACAGCGGAGCAGGCAGCTGCTGGCTGGCTTTGGAGACCAGGAGCGACAAACAGCCGGCCGCCTGAGTGCGCGGCTGCATGGGACTATGAGGCAAAGAAACTCTGTGATAAGATGCTACAGTCTCCTCATCGGCTCCAGTTGAGGTGGGAGGGAGACAGCGGGGTACCGGGTGTCGTGTCCGTGATGCAATGCGGGTACCGTCAATGCCATGGCCCGCAGTTTTCTCCTTGTGTGCAGAAATCCAGGCGCTCCGGTCATTATCCGCGGAGCCGCGGCGCACATTTGTCTTAATTAACGACGGTCGGGATTGTCTGCAAAGATAGCAAGAGGCTTGAGGGGAGAAAAAGAAGGCATGTGTTCTGTGTCCATGCTCTCTCTATCTCTCTCCCTCTTCCTCTGCATCTCCCCCTCTCTCTCTCCTTGTAGCCTATGTGGCAACACACACATGCACACACTCTTGGGGTTTAATATTAGACGTCATGCGTCTTAATCATGGCACGCATAAACGGCTTGGGCGCAAATAGAAGAGGGCAGGGGCTCAGTCAATGTCCAGGCTGAGGTGATGGGGTTAAGCACGTGTGCTCCGAAATGAGGATGGATGGTGCATTCCCCCATCTTTTCTCTTATCCATGCAATTGACAGCTATTCCTCAACCCCCCGTGCGTGGCAATTGAATTGGAGCGTCACCGCGTCTTCCAGCTGCGCCCCCCAGGCATAACAACCCGATGGACGATTGCATGTATCCGGGTGAAGACCGCTCGTTGACTTCTCCTCCTATGTGATAAATACAGCCAGTGAGGCTATTAAACAATCCTTGGAGGTGTAATCACGCTGGCAGTGATTTCACCTTGTCCTCTCTGCAGAGACCACATGCTTGTAAGAATACATGACGCAGCTGAGTCAAAATGTGTTTCTACAAAAATAAAGTTAGAAGATGAAAATCCTGGCACAACTTTAAAAGCCTTTGTGAACCTAAATGTGAAAACAGTCTGCCTCAACCCTCTATGTGGGATTGTGGGTATATCTGAAATCTCTTAAAACACTATTTTCCAAGTCCCTTGTGTGAAGTTAAGTCACCACAAACAGACTACACACCCACATGTAGTTTACACACACCCACATGCTGTGCATGGGCTGTGTAGCTCCATCTGACACCAATTTTGTCAATTATATGGACCCAAGCTGCTACCACTATTGGCTGGAGCAAACCTTGACAAAAAGTAAATAGCCTCCAGCAGTAGAGCCCAGATTTGATGTCAGCTGTGTAAATGGAGTCTTTCACAATAATAAATCATTAACCTTTTAGTCAGCAAGCATGCTGTCCCCTCAACGCTCTGAAAGCCAACTCTGGCTGAACGAGAAGCAAAATAGTCTTGTAATATCAATGAAATGCCATTTTCAGTCTGTAACATTTTGTTAAACCGCACGGCAGGGAAGTTGGAGCGCATCCTGCTCTCGGGCTAGATAACACTCGCACTTCCCACCACTGAATGAGAAGGTGGGAAATCAAGTGGTGAGAAGACAAAAAGGACACACAGCTCCTCCACAGTGGACACAGGGCGATTTCCACCTGGCACATGTCTTAATGGAACAAATGTGGATTCTTTGGGAGCAGCCGAGCAGGGCATGGCTTTAAGCAGTGAGTAGTGAGTCCAAAAAGTTTGACTTGTGAGAATTTTAATGCACTAATGCACTGGCGCCTGGGATTCAATGTGTGTTCATGTGTTTGTCCAGGACTCCTGCTGCTCTGTATGGTAGCCTCTGAGGTGTGGGATGCTGAGACCAAACCAATAGAATTTGTGTGTAATAAAGGCGCCAGGAGGGCTATGAATATTGTGGCAGAGGTGGAGAGAGCACTGGTGAGGATATGACTTTTACAGATACATTTCCCCAACATTTGTCTGTCTCTCTTCCACCTGCTGAGGTGATGTATCTAATCTTCCTGCCTGTCAGTTGTTACCTGTGGTCTCGCATCAATCTGTCTCTCTGTAGTCCACCTATTTGTCTGGCTCCTGTCACCTGTCTCCTTCCTTGCAGAGTGACTGTAATGGCTCCGCGACCCTCCCCACACCAGTCCAGCTCCCCTGTACCGAGCTTCATGTAGCATCCTGGGGAAACAAATCAGTATGTTGGCACATGTATGGTCCAAAATCCTCTATCACAGTGGTTTTCTATTGGTTTAGGTGTTTCAGCCTGTCTTTAAAATCTTTTTCTGTATGTGTGTGTGTTACCATAGCACCAGGAGAAGAGAGGTGACATAGTTGCATCCTTGAGGCTTCTTATCGAAGGTGTGAAGGTTGTGAGGGCCCCAGGCCAGGCAGGATGTGCCACTTTGCTACTGCAGAGACTGGAGAACAACATCAACAATTACCTGCTTATTCTCACAAACCTTCAGCTGAGTGTAAGACACATTCACAGTGACAGAATGCATGCAACCAAGCAGTGATTTTTGGTGATTTGCTGGTGAAAAGAAGCGTACATGTTGACATTAAGATTGCTACGAATTTAGTTGCAAAGTTTCTGGATGTCTTGGGTACATATAATCATTTAAATAACTATATTCACAGTCAAGAGGCTCCCAAATGCACATCATTGAAAAGCTTTTGATCGAGCCCAGGCTTGTCACAAACTTCCACTTCTGATTTTATCATCTGGATGCCTTGTGACCTATAAATCCCCAAATCAAAGCTACCCGGGCTCAGTCTGTCCTAGTCAGTCACACACGGAGCCAAGTAAAATTCATCAGGGTGCCGATGAACATTCACACAAAGTGAGTGAAAATGTGTTGGTGGGCTTCTCTCTCACTGGTTCACATCTGATTCAGAGGCATTATCAGTTTCCTCTGGTGTGGAAATATCCTGGTTTCTCGTAAATCTGTGGCTTTGGGGTGTGATGATGTAATGCTGTGTGACCCCAAGCCTTCCTTCCTCGGGACAGGAAGAAGATAGCAGTGCATACTTTCCCACTGAGACACAGTGCAAGATGGATGTCCCGTGAACTGTGTTTTACATAGTATCTTAAAATTTGGAAGGTTTATTTGTGGATTTCAGTTTTGTAAGTGTTACTATCAGTAAACAGTGCCATTTTAAAATCTGTGTTTGATGTTATGTCACTGACCTTTGGATAACTTCCAGCCTCCTGTTTGTTTTACTCATGGTATTTCTGTTTCATTCCTACAACTATCTTTATTGTTGTGTTTTCTGTTTGGACCAGCAGGGGCCAGTGGTGAGTCCAGCAATGTCCTGTGTTCCTCGAGGCACCCAGAGTCTGCGCACAGTCCTGTCGAGTTACAACCAACTGCTCTCAGGCAAACTGGAGCGGTTCATGGTTAACCTGCAAGACAGATGCATTTCCCAGTGACACAAGAGCAACTTAAGTGGATGCAGTGTTCTTTACAAACTGGGGGATGAGCTCCAGTGGGACAATAAAAGAAGAATGAAAATCCATCAGAGAAAAACAGCCAATGTGATCTGGATATTCTCCTCACCTTGTTGCCTTTATCAAATTTCAAATTTGGGGAATGTTTTCTTTAGTAGTGACACTGTAAGAGTAAAATGAAGTAATACATGCTTCTCTGCTGGTCATTAAGAGGAACTACAGCCGGGAAGGACAGAAGTTAAAGGCAGCAATATGTTTGCAATGATAATATTAAGGGACAAAATAATGCATGATGGGAGTGAGGTGTTTTGTATCATACCACATAAAACTAGGGAAGCTTTAAATTTGGTTGTAGGCCCATAGAACCAATGCAAGTCTATGAAAGCAATCATTGTTTTCTGGCCAGATTTGTAGTCTCCCATCAGTCTGTCTCTCTGTTGTCCACCTATTTGTCTGGTTTCTGTCACCAATCTCCTCCCTTGCAGAGTGACTGTTAAGGCTCGGTAACTCTCCTCACACCAGTTCAGCTACCCTGTACCAAGCTTTTTGTAGCATCCTGGGGAAACAAATCAGTATGTTGGCACATGTATGAGTCCACAAGCATCTACCACAATGGTTTTCTCACTTGCTTACTGTTGGTTTGAGTGGTTTAGCTTGCCTTTGCTTATATCCACTAACACATTCCATTACATTTTGTTTTCAATATCTGTAAATTTCAAACTTGTGAAATGTTTGCTTTTGTATAGTGTGACTCTTTAAGAGTAAAATGAAGTAATACACCCTTCTCTGCTGGTCATAGAGAGGAACTACAGCTAGACAAGACAAATAAAAGACAGCAATATGTTTGCAGTGATAAAATTCAGTGACAAATGAATGTATGACATGAACGCAGTTGTTTGTATAATTCTACATTAAACTAGGGATGCTTAAATTTGGTTGTAGCCCCACAGGACTAATAGAAGCCTACAAAAACAATGTTTTAATGCCAGATTTCTTTTGCTCCTTTGTCAGCAGTACAAAGGTCTTGCAAAGTGGCTGGAAACTCACTGCCCATATCCAGAGCCAAAACAGTTTTATTTTCATTCTGGTATTAATGCAAATACTGCTAGACCGTCCTTGCACATTAGCTGAATTTAAAAAAAAAAAACACATACATTTTGGTATGAATTTAGAAAGCAAATCTAGTTTATTCTCAATGCACTTTTAGATCTTTTCTGTTTACATTTTATTTTTAAATATTTCCTGTAGATGTGTGCACGTTTCTATGCATTGCTTTTTCCTAATTCAGGAAATCTATGTTAGATTTACTTGTGAATTTCTTTGTGTAAATAAATACCCTGATTTTGCATTTAAGAGGACATTTTTGCTACACTAAATACTGATACATGCTGTTTATTATACAAAAACTTTGCAACACAATATGAAATAAACTCTGATTTCATACGGCCATTTATTTGAGTACTCATTTGTTTATTCATGTATTTGTTTATTTATTTATTTAGGTAGGTAGGTAACAGGTAAGGTAGATTTTTATAGCTAGGCTAACGCTAATTAGCTACTTGCTAATGCTAAGGGATATAAACAAGGATTAATTGAGAAGAGCAACTGATTGGATGAGACCATCACAGGCGGTGACGTCACTTTTTCATTAACCAACCGTCATTACCTGCAGAGTATGAGCCGGGCGCGGTGTAAGGGAGGTGCGGAGGCTAATGGCGGCTACTCGACTGGTGTTAGCTAACCCGATTCAACCGTTAGCAAATGTCACCATAGCTACAGAAAAGACGTTGAGGTTATCTGAGCACTGCGGATGAAACGTTGCTTTACAGTTGACGCCAGCGAGGTGCTTTTACCGTTAATTACCAATAGCTTAGCCGCCATGGCAGAAAAGGCTCCTCTTCTTCATTACCGACTCACCACCAGCGCCAGTCCGGAGCCGAAAGATTGGTCCAAGCACGGCGGGGCGAAGGCGGGCAGAGACGGTCGACGGAGGAAGGACAAGACCGCCCGGAAGCTCGGGGTGGTGTTTGGCGTGGTCATACCGACTTTACTGTCTATGTTTAGCGTCGTTGTGTTTCTGCGCATTGGTGAGTAACGTTAGAAGAGAGCTAACACTTAAACATTTCATTAGGCTGAAGTAAAACACAAATAAATAAACCTTGTAAAAAAAAAAAAATACGGCTCTTACAGTTCAGGTTGAACCAGGTTGGCGGTTAGGTCGATGCTAACAAGTGGGTGAAATAATCAATTTTGAAGTTAGCCTCTGAATTACTAATTTGAGTCTTGATAAAATATAAATCCTAATCAGTTAAAGTCATTATTCTTTGACATGTTTTTGAAGGCTGTAGCTAACAGTTCCATTTATCAGTATATTAATGTGTCCATCTTTTATTGATAATCAATTCTGGGTGGGTCAATGAAATGCCTCATCAGTTTCCCAGAGCTTGTTTGTTTCAGCAAAATGCACAGAATTCACAGATATTCAGTTAACAGTGAGTATAAAATGAAAAATAGCAGCAAATTCTTAAATTAAAGAAACTGGAAGCACATTTATGACAGTTTTCTTGAGAAATTAGTGAAATAATTCAAGAAAGCAATACCTTATACCATCTGTTGTGTCCATTAGTTTCATTATAGACTGAGCTGGTGATTATTTTCACCTCTAATCGATCAATTTTTCTTCTTTTTTTCAGTATCGATAAACTTCATGTTCAGCTAAGATACAATGAGAGCTGGAACATATTTCATCAGAATAATACACGCACAAATGGAGCATTGGGAAAACAAAAAAACAAGCAAACTGAAAAGGATGATGAAAGTAAAACAAATGTAACACAAATTAATGTTTATAAAAAAAAAGATGTGTGGATGTTGCAGGAGGTTCACATAAGAATTTTGAAGATATTGCATACATTTATAGTTTTGACAGCTTTCTTGTTTCGTGAGGAAGAAATTGTTGACAGGTTTGGGTCCATCTCCTTCACACTTCATAATCAACTAATCATTTAGTCCACATTGTCAAAAAATGCTCATCACAATTTCCAGGAAACCCAAAGTTCAGTTCGTCTCTCTTGTCCAACCAGCAAGCCAAAATCCAAAGACTCTTCATTTACTATCATAAATGACAAAGACAAGCAACACATTTTAACATCTAAGAAACTGGAAACCACAAATGTTTGACATTTTTGCTTGGAAAAATACCAAAACAGGTAATTCATTATCAAAAATTTTGGTGATTTGTATTCTTTCGATGGATTAATCGGTTAATCATTGCAGCTCTGGAAGTGATGAGAAAAATATATATATCCCGTAAGTTATTTTGCAAAAATACAGTCCTGAGGTGAATATTAGGCTACATTACAAGTCAGATTTCCTTCCACCTCTTGCAGGATTTGTTGTGGGTCAAGCAGGGCTCTACCAGGCCATTGTCATGTTCCTAGTGGCCTACTTAATCATCACGATGACTGTGCTTTCTGTCTGTGCCATCTCCACCAATGGGGCTTTGGATGCTGGAGGTGCCTACTGTATCCTTTCCTGCTCAGAGAGACTTCTGCTGTAGCTTAAAAGCCTCACTTGGGTTTGTGTCTGTGATTAAGCCTGACTAATGGATTGAGAAAAAATTGACCCTGCTCTTAATTCCTCCCCATGATTTGCTTTTTTTCAACCAGTAGCACAGGTCCCCTCTCTTAGTTAACATTTATAAATCGGGAGTCAGCAATCCCTTAACTTGGATCCCCAGACATGATCAGCCGAGCCCTGGGTCCAGAGTTTGGTGGCAGCATTGGGATCATGTTTTTCTTTGCCAATGTGTGCGGCAGTGCTCTCTATGTTTTGGGTCTGGTGGAGGCCATCATGTCTACCTTTGGCATCCCAGAAGGTAAAGCACACTGGGACATTGTGGGACATCTTGAGTAGACATGTGACTTATGATAATAACCCTGTTTACTGTCCCTTCAGAAGGTGCTGCAGGACTCCATCAGGTGTTGCCCTCAGGATATTGGTGGTCTCTGCTGTATGGCACTGTCCTGCTCTCCTTGTGTTTAATTGTCTGCTTGGTGAGACTTCATTGTTTTCATTTTACCTAATTTTTTATTGTCAAGCAGCTCATCTTTGGCTTTTATACATAGCGGGAGTTTTGAGATTTATTATTTGAGAACTGTTTTGCTAAATTCACAACTATTTAGAATAAAGGGACTCTTGTGTTTAAATCCCTACTAGTGAACTCAATAGCTGGTGTTTTCTTCGGGCACCACTGGCAGTCAAGTAAAAAATGAACATGACACTAGTGCTAGGGTATATATTTGTATAGATGTATAACATAAGCCAGTAGTTTCTAAATTTAACTGTCCTGTCATTACAGGTGGGAGCCCACATCTATGCCAAAGCCACCTTTATTATCATCATCATAGTCGCTTCGGTTCTAACTACCATCTTCATCAATTTTTTCATTGTGGGGCCCATTGTGGTGATTCTCCCTGATAGTTCTGGTCCAAACAGAACCAGTCTGGACACCGCCAATTATACCGGCTTCCAGCTCCACACCTTGGAGGGCAACCTATTGCGTAAGTGTTGGACATGTTGTCAGATGTGATGGCTGGACATTTCATGCTTTAATAATCTTTAACCTATTTTAAAAATGTAATGCAATGGGGAAAAAGACAGCCTTTATAATATTAGCTCTAATTTGTCAATTCAGGACTATGATATTTAAGCAGAAGATACGAAAAATATACTAGCATGCTATAAATCAATGTTATTTGTATTAATGATCCCTGATTTGAGGCCTTCTGTCATTCCTTATAGCCAACTACACAGTAGACTACACAACTGGTGCCATGATGAGTTTTGCCACAGTGTTCGCCGTTATGTTTAATGGCTGCACTGGAATCATGGCAGGCTCCAACATGTCAGGTAACATGGTGATTAAATAATTTCTAACTAAGAGCCTAATACATTTTAGGCTTTTTAAACTTTCAAAACACAAAGCCTGTGATGGTGCTAATAGTGTTTCAGGTACATAGTAAACGTATCTTCCAATTTTCTACTGTCCTTAAATCAACAGCATATCTAGGCTGCTGATAATTTATTTACCAGTCACAAGTGACTTAAAGAAAGCTACATTTCTTAGCAACATTTGGAGAGGAGCCTTTGAACAACCAATTAAGGCAGGTCTTGAAACCAACTTAGGTGGATCCAGCCCCTGATTTAAGACGGTAAATGAGGCCAGACTTTGACAGAACTTCAGTAAGGCCTTGTTTATGTCTGGTGTTAGGTAAGTCTTGGGAAATCCTATCACAAGTGGACAGCTTTTTGTCTGTCTGTCTGTTCACACCTGGCATAAGAATGCGTCTCCACATGTGTCTCAAGTGACAACTTGTGATCAGATCTTACTTAAGTATGTACATTGCTGACATTAGCATAGACCAAATTTGGGGGTGTTTTTAACCGGCGGGAGGCAGCAGTGCACTTCCGGTGCACAGTCTTCTGGAAATGAATGGGGAATTAAGAATTCCAACATGTTATTTCCATGGCCTAGGGAAGTTTAATTAGTGTTTGTGAACATGAGCCACTGTACCATGTGAAGCCACTCTCTCAAAGCCAAAAACCAGAGAAGTTAGTTTCAAACTTGTGATGTCATCAAGTATGAAGTCTAGAACTGCTCCATAGACAAAGAATAAGAGCCAGATTTTGTGGACCCACAAAATGTTTTTCTTTTTTATACCCATGTGAGCTTTATTTGACTGTAGTGTTCTCAGCTCTGAAACTGAAAATGTACCCTTTTACTCAGAACTTTTCCCCCAGGTGCTCTTGTGTGTGGAGCAGCTATAGATCATACTTCATGACAGCACAAATTTGAA